CATCCACCCATGCCACAAATATTGGGGCATGCAACACATTTTTATTGTTTTTTTTTCTACTTGCGGCTCCTGTGACACACAAAATAAAATCACAACGAATGACCTTGCGAAAAAGAACACAAAAGCCCAAACCGCTGTGTGTGTGTGTGTGTGTGTGAAAAGGAAATACATCAACACGTTGTTGAATTTGCCAAAAACGGTGAAAATAACAAAGGAAAAAAAATAATATAAATATATGAATATACATATATTGAAAGAGAGAGAGAGAGAGAGAGAGAGAGAGAGAGAGAGAGGAGTGAGAAGGAAGCGAGAGTGAGAGTGAGGGAGAGAAAATGCAGCTTAAGGGTTGCGAAAAACGAAAATAAAAATAAAAACAAAAAAGAGAAATGGAAAGGAATAAAGAGCAAAAAACATATACAGTGTGCACACGCTACAACAGATGTCAACAGGCTGTACGAAATGAAGTGAGAAAGGATGAGTTATTAATGAATGAATATTTAATTAAATATTTATATATGTATATATTGCAATTATTTACTATAAGCAATGCAAATATTGATTTCAACTTAAACAACTTCAAATATCTGTGACTACCTAAACAACCTTTAGTCACCAGCCTAAAGGACTCTATCAATGTTCTTCTGGAACTCTCTTCCTCTTATTAGTGATGCCATCTTGTTGAGATTGTGTAACGAGGATGCCACATCGCTCGAGAATGCTTCTCATGCAACTCTACATATATTTATTTTCATATTTTAAATATCGTTCTATAGCTCACCTATATTCCACCGGAGCTAATTATAATATTTGTATATACATTTATATTATTATGAATTAGATCTGTTTCCCTAGCAGTTGCTAAACGTTAGAGTAAGCAAATAGAATTCCACGTATTTCTCGCAGCTGCAAGTAAATATGCAATCACATCACAGTGCACTTTGGCCTAAATAGACTTTTAGCCATCGTCTATCTGCAATTTGGACTGTGCTTAGTTCCATTGTCGATCAACAGTTTGAACCATATATATTGCAAATATATCTCCATCTTTCTCGCTCGTTATATATATATAGCTCCATGCATGGGTATATATAATATGACTCCAGGCAGGTGCACAAGCGTGGGCGGCATTTACCCCTTTGCGTTGACGCATGCGTCGCTGGGCAAACTGAATTGCAGCGAATGACAGCAAAGGACGAATGTCTGATAAATAAGCTGCCACTAAGTAGGGGAAATATGTTGGGAGTGGCATCAACTGCTGCTGCTGCTGCTGATTGCTGCTGATTGATGTTGCTGTTGTTCCTGCTGCTGCTGCTGCTGCTGGCAGCAATCCCTACTAAGAAATGCCTTTTCCACCCATTTACTGCGCTGACCTGAGCAAATTGTTGCTGCACATACAGTGAACATTCCTTTAGAGGGAAGAGGATATAAAAAAATTCACAAAGTACTGATAAGCAGTTAGCAATTATAAATGCCTAAACATTAAGAAGTAGTTCTCACAAATGTATATAAATATAATTTTTAAAT